CGTCGCCCGGCTCTGCGGAGGAGCCGGCGCCTCGGCACCCCCTTCCCGCCGAAGCCAGGGGCCGGGCGCGCCTCTTCCCCGCAGGAAAGGCCGCGGAGGGCCCGGCAAGGCCAACCCCGGCTTCCCTTGAGCCTTTCCCCGCGTTCCGGGGGGACGTTGCCCGGCCGGTGACGTTGCCTTTTACCCTCTCCAGCCCACCCCTGCGGCAGTCCCCAGGCTTCCTTTCTTCCCCTGAGCCAACAGCATCCTGGCCGCCCTTGTTGCCTGTGGGGTGGCCAGTTCACAGCGGCGGGAGGGGGATCCGCTTCCATCTAGTGGTCACCTTAGGCTGGTTGGGTAGACCCCCTCCCGGGGACCCTTGGCTGTCTCCACCGGGACATTCTGCTTGGGGAGCTAGGAAGCTTGGCTCTCTCAAATTAGGCTCTCTGTTGGACCCACCTGCTTCTAGAGGCCACAGATTAGCCCGGGGTCCAGGGGAGCAAGAACAGCTAGTGTGCTTTGTGGCTGAATGTGGACTAGGTCGGGGACACCGGATAGCTTTGCTTACCATGCCCTGCACACCCAAATCAGGACACAGGTGGGCAAGCCTGAGCCAAGGTATAGATGCAGGAATGGGACCGACAGTGGACGTAAACAAATGTTTTGCTGGTATAGTTTGCTGGCTCAGGGATGGGTAAGGAGCACTTCATCTAAATTTTGTAGCAATTTAGCAAACCGAGTTGATCATGAGCTAGGATTCAAGGATGTCTTTGGGGTTCTTTGCATTTTTAAAGAGACCATACTCCAGAATTGTTAGACAATTAGTGATCCACCTCCGGGTATGTAGTGTGGCATTTGATGCCAAGAAACCCTTAGAGGCTGGCATGCAGAATGATAAGAGATGATCTTCAGTGGAATGGAAGATGGGACTTCAAACTTTTCTTCTCTAGCTCTCTTTTGAGAGGCCATGCTGGATCACTGGGTATCCTTAGCATCATTCATATTTATTTATCAAATTTATATAGCCACCCATCTATCACTGATATGACTTTGGGCGGCATACAATAAAACAAATAATTAAATCTTAAATAACCATTAAAAACAATTAACATAAAATATAAATAAGATCATGGAAGAATGCACCAAAATCTCACATACAATACAATCATCTCGTGGGCTCCCTGTTATCATGGGATCCCCCCTGCTGAAAAAAATATGTCTTAAGAGATTTTGAAAAGGACAATAGGGTCGGGACTAATCTCACCTCGGGGGCAGGGATGATGTTCCAAAGGGCGGGTGTTTCAGCAAAAAAAGGCTGGTCTCCTGGGTCCCATCAAATGGAAGTCTTTAGCAGACAGAACCTGTAACATGCCATTTCTGCTGGACCTGATGGGAAGGGCAGATGTAATCAGGGAGAGGCAGTCCCTCAAATAAGCCCTGTGCCTTGTAGGGCTTTAAAGGTCAAAAATAGCACCTTGAATTGAACCTGGAAGCAAACCAGCAATTAATGCAGCTCACGGAGCAGAGGTGTGATGTGCTGTCTTAGGGGCACACATAACTGCCTGCACCACCACATTTTGCACCAGTTGAAGCTTCCAGATACTTTTCAAGGGCAGCCTCATGTAGAGCGTGTTACCGCAGTCCATTTGGAAGGTGATCAGGGCATGAGTAACTGTGAGTAGAGCCTCTTGATCCAGTAACAGATGCAACTGGTGCACAATACGAAGCTGCGCAAAGACCCTCCTAGACATGACTGCCATTTTCTTCTTGAGTTGTAAGTCCAGAAGGACCCCCAGATTGCACACCGGGTTTGTTTGGGGCAGTGCAACCCCATCCAGTACCAAAAATGGTAAAGTCCCAAATCTGGAAGACCCTAAAACCCAAAGCCACTCAGTCTTGCCAGGGTTCAGTTGAAGCCTGTTGTTTCCCATCCAATTCCCCACTGCCTCCAGGCACCGAGGCAGGACATCAACAGCATTGCTTAGTTCGCTGGGGCAGAGATATATAATTGAGTATCATCAGCATACTGATGATAACCCCCCTCATGGCAACAGATGATCTCATCTAACGGCTTCATATTTAGTAGTTGTTTATCTAGTAGTCTGGTTAGGTGTCAGGATGTCTTTTGTCATGACTGTACTATGATAGTAGGGAGTACAAAATTGTTCAGTTCTCTGTCTCTTCACATCATGGCTTGAAACATCTTGGTATGTCTTGTGTTTGGATTTACTTTTGTACAGTCATTATATTTACATTCCAGATCTCTTTTTCAGCTAGCACAATTTATAATTTTTTTTAGCCCTTTAGGGTCTGACCATTAACTCATCCCATAACAGACTTGGAGACCTGGAGAGCCTCCTCCCATTTTCATGCCATCTCTCTTACCTGGGAGTTCATCCCCTGGTTGGGAAAGGTGAAGTGTGGGCAAGTCTGACAGATGGCTAAACCTACAAGTCTAACTTTCTGTCAAAACCACCACTGAAACCATCACTGTGAACGCCCCCCTGCCATCACTGGTCAGATGTTATTCAGGCTGATCCATATATTTGAGCTAGATATCAGTCCAGAGATGTAATGTTGGACACTGGGCTCTCCCAGAATAGCCCTGGAAGATAATGCATGTGGACGGGACAGGGGATGTCTGTAGCAACTAAAGGAACCAATAGGTGTTTGGCTGATCCCATTCCTTAGGAGTTATCTGCCATTGAAAAAATGGTCAATGAAGCAAATCAGATTGTGCTCCCAGTAAAAATGCCACAGCTTGTTGGACAAGATTAAGGTAATGTTATGGAGATAGAGGGTATGTTTGTAGCATGGTTAGATGCAAGTGGGGAAAGGCTCTGAGTCATTCTTGTTGCTTGTCTCTTCAGGAAGTGAAGAAGGTTTTTATATCTGTTTACCCCAATACTTATCTGTTAGATTGTTCCCAGCTTGGCTTATAAGGCATTCCAAGACTTTGTCCTTCCAATGATTTCCAAGATTAATCACCACTCTCTTCTGCAGAAGAGTTCTGCTTAAAGATGATCTTGAGACAGCTGCTGATAAATCATCTTTTGACATGTCTATGTATGGCTGATGTTGAGTTTTCTGTATTTAGCCAGATTGGTGAAAAAGTTGGTATCATTGCCACTCAAGGAATGATCCTTTCCAGTCTGAGATCAGTCCCACATTTAGTACAGTATGGCCCTAGACGCTCTGACGGGCTATACAAGAAAAAAAAATAGGAATAAGATAACTCTGTTGATATTGCTGAATCTCTCAGCAGCTTTTGATAACCATTGGATCATAGTTTGCTTTTCAAGCACTTCAGGGATTGGAGACAGTACCACAATGGATTATGTTCCTGTCAATACAACTAGAAAATAGCATTGGGAGACTTCTTTTGGGCTCCTTGGGAATTGTCTTGGTGGGAGTGCCCCACAATGTTTTGTTGTGCATCTTATCTACCATTTCTGTGAAGCTCTAGGAAAGATGATGTGTGGTTGTGGGATGAATTCCTATCAGGAATAGCTGTTCTGAGAGAAGTTAATGTGTTTCTGGGCTGTAGCTGATTGGGTGAGGCAGACAGTTGAAGCTGAACTGAATTAATACATACGGTTTGTGCTGGTTTGGGAGCTGGATTTTGGGATTCAGGAGATATGCATAATCTGGATAGGGTTGTGCCTCCCCTTAAGGATCAAGTTTACAACTTGATGATCGTCATGGATTCATCATTAATGCTGAACAGCCTCATTACATTGCTGGGCTTGCTGATGTAGTGTGGGGGGATGTTTTTTATCAGAATGGGCCAATACATAAAGTACATCCATTCCTGAAGTGAGGCTGAGTAGTGTAGAACAAGTTATTGGAGGGGTAAGGTTAAAGCTTCCCTGCCACCCCACCCATCATTTTGTTGAAAATTACTGTTTCCCCATTGCTAATGGTAATAAGCTGTTAACTTCTTAAAATTGCTGAAAGGATGTCAAATTAAAATCTCTACTGTTTAATGATCGGGGGTGGGGGATCATAAGTGCATGCCCTATCCTCAGCAGCAGACCCCAGAAGGTTCCATAACAGCCCAAACAGTACCGTCTCCCAAAATTGCCCAAGTCTATCCTACTGGTGGGAATTAATAATAGAAGAGAATTCCAGGAGATGATAAGCTCAGTTTTATAGTTCTAAGCAGAGGCTGGATAAGTATCTCTCTTGTATCGAGTAGTAATTTCGCCATATTCATCCAGCATTTTGATCTGTATTCAGTTTTTTAGTGTTTTAGAATTTACTTGAAATAATAGAAATGAAACTATGAGAAATGATCTTAATAGGGCCTTAGGGGCTGAAAAAATCCTGTTTAGTTCTGTAAGATTTTGCTTGATACAGTTTTGTAGCTGTTCTTTGTAGGCCTCTTCTGTGAGCCTCCATTTGTATTGAGGAAAAAAGCCTTATAAGTGACAATATTAACAACAGGATGCTTTCTTCAAGAGGTTTGCTGGTGTCTTCCTCTTTTCTGCACCTGTGAAATTGAGGCCTGCACATTTTATCTTCTAATTTTAGAACTACAATATATTTTGTGTTTGTTTGTTGCTGCATTCTTACTCTGATGCTCTGATTTTTGCCAGTGAAATGTTTTGTAGTGTTTTAATGTATTATTTTAAGCTGTCCAGAGAACATTTTTATTGGGAAGCATACAAATATTGTAAATGAAACAGGGTCTTTTTTTCAAGTATTGGTAATAGTAAGATGAAGGAGTTTGCATACCAATGCTTTTTGGCTCTTACATTACATATACAATTAAGAGTTCTAATCTTCAGGACTTCCTACAGCTGAAAACATTAAGGTTGTTTGCATTTCTAAAATACAAGTGCTTTCTTTTATACTTCTGAATAGAGGAACCTGTTGTGGAAACTGCAGAAGAAGCCACAGAACCAGCAGAAGCTGATATTAATGAACTTTGTAAGGAGATGTTCAACAAAATGGCTATTTACTTAACAGGTGAACTGACTGGTGAGTTAATATTAAATTTACCATACAGTGTGATTCTTTGCAAATTTTCCTGAAATCCTAAATAGGTGTCAAAAAGTACTTTCTGAGAGAAATTACTTTTTTTAAAAAAGGAAATTTCAAATGAAGTCAGAACATGTCTGATCAGTTGGTCAGTGAACCCACTTTTTCCCCATTGTATCACAAAAAAGAGTGATGTCTGCTAATAGCTATAGCCCCACCTGCTTTTGACAGGCTTCTGACTGTGGCCCAGTCTAGACAGGAAACTGTGCAGTTGCCTCTTAACCTACTCCTTCCCCCTCTTGAGAAAAACATATTTCTGAGTGTTTCTGATAAAATTACAACCAAAAGCAACACTGATTATTTTTAGATTCATATTCTATGATCAACCTAAGAGAGTTATTGACATATTACGAACATCATTGAAAGTAAAACTGTGGTTATGTTTTATAGAAGGCAAGTTTAACTTGGTTGGTTTGGTTTTTCATTCAGTGTGATATGTGACATCAGGCACTATGATTGGTAAACCATGGTTTTGGGTTTAGTATTTGTGAACCCAGCCATTCGTTACTTATTCAATAAATCGTAGTTAAAACAAGCTCTGGCAAAATGCAGTGTGTGAACCCAGCTCCTTCTCTTACATTTTTTAGCAACTAGTGAAGATTACAAACTCCTGGAAAACATGAACAAACTAACTAGCTTGAAGTACCTGGAAATGAAAGACATTGCTATAAACATAAGTCGGAATTTGAAAGACTTAAACCAGAAATGTAAGTAGAAACAAACTCTAATTATGTACAATCATAGGATGTTGTTATGCTCGTTTGCATTTTGGAAGTATGTCAAAATACCTCCAAGAAAGAATTGAATATGAAAAATGTACAAGGAACAAAAAGAAGGTCTGAAAGACCTCCTTAGCACAGCCTTTCCCATCTGGATGTATTAATCCACGATCAGGCAGTTGATCAGCTTCTTAATATGCTCAACATGCCAAAAGAATGTCTGAGGAAGGCTCCAGCAAATCCAACAGCATAAGAGGCAACAAATATTTTATAATAAAAAAATGGAGGGCATTGATCTGTTTCTGTTACTTAAGATCTAATAGTCATGGTTGTATGTATTACCCATAGGGGAAGAGGCATAGCTTAGCATGCATGCAGCTTTTCTAATCTCCAGCACTGTGGATAAGGTGGGAGGCCATGGTGAGACCTGGAGAACCATTGTCCATCAAGAATAGACAACACTGGGCAATATGAGCCAGTGGCTTGATCCAGTAGAAGGCACCTTCCTATCAAGTAGCAGTTATTTTTTTAATCCTCAGTGAATTCTTACTTTTTTCTCCCCTCTCCATTTTCCCCAAGATGCTGCACTTCAACCATATCTGGAACAAATCAATCAGATTGAAGAGCAAGTTGCAGCTTTGGAACAGGCTGCCTACAAGCTGGATGCATATTCTAAGAAACTTGGTAGTTATTTGTGATATTACTGGAACAGTGCTGTTAGGAGTTCCATGACATGCAAGTTTTGGTTTTATCTGTTTCCCCAAGCAAGGGCTTGAGATGTTATCCTTGTTAACACTACTGTAATAAGTTGTATCTTATGATGCCAACTTCCACACCTCTCACATTGCAGAGGAAGAGAGTTGGCAATGCCTGCCCTAAAGCAAAGCATTGGATGTCTGATTCAGCCTTCTACCACCTTGTAATATCTGTGGAGAATAACGGAATGTTAGTGCACTTCTTCTGTGTTATGGGTTACTACTGTTCTGTTTGGAAACTAGTTATCACCTATTGTAATTATGGCCAAAAGGGTTGCACATTTCACTAAACTATGATTTATTTAATCATGGTTTATTGAACTATGATTTTTTTTGGTTCAGTTCACACAAATTGCTGAGATTTACAATGGGATTCAATACAAAGCTGCTGCACCTAATCTGTTTCTGACTTGGATGGTGACCCTGTCCTGTGGTCATCAGTGTCCACTGCTGATTTTAAGTATTGGAAGTTATTGGGCTCTCCTGAAATAAATTCAAAGCAAAAATCAATATACAGCAATAGCTAAGAAATAAAGCTTTATACTGAGTATCTGGCACAACAGACTGTTAACTGACAATGTTAGAATGAGCCCCAAGTTGCATTTTACTAACTAATATTAGGACAACACACCTAGTTGCCATTCTGTTTGATCTTATACCAAATGCTTTTTCCCTAAAAAAAATAAGGGGGTATACATGAAGGGTTTAGGAAAAGGCCAACCAAAGCAAATCTGGGAGGAACAATTGCTGACAAATTCCTATCAAATAGATAAGAATTTGATCAGTGATTTGATCCAATCAGTAAACAATTTCTTTGCTTTTCTACTTTATACTATTTTCATTTGTGCATTTTCTGGTATTTCAGGTTCCTGATTAATCAGTTCAGACCATATGTATTTGTGTGTTTGTATCATCTATTCCAGTTTCTTTTCCCTTCCCAATTTTTAGTTACAATGACAGGATGTGACTGATGTCTTTCTCTTAATTGGGGCATCCGTGATCGCAGTTGCTATTTTGACTTTTTTAACACCCCACCTCCCATGGACACTTCTGCTTTTAACATAACCCTGATAAGTAACTGTCAATACTTATGACTAGGTGAAAGGAAGTTTTCAACATATTCCAAAACTCAGAAGTTGTTTAGTAAGTTTCAGAGGCAGTTTTAAAGAGACAACAAATGTATTTAGAACATTAAGATTTATATATAGCAGCTGATACTCATTCTGCCTCAAGAAGTTTAATTTTATTTAGGATGTTTGTGTTACAGCAAAGAATAGGAAAATTCTAAATATCCAAGGGGATTTTGGATACATTCCTTCAATAGCAGTACTCCTAGCTCTTTTAAGAAATCGAATCAATTTTCAAAAAAAAGTTTGTGATCTGATGTGAGTTGTCATTTAAAAGGAGAAATTACATTGAATGTGCTTAATATCAGTGTTTTCTCATATCTTCTTAAACACGACAGACTGTGCTATTAGATTTACAACTAAAATGCAAATGAAATGTTTTACTTGCACTAAGGCTGTGTCTTTTGTCCTCTACAGAAGCAAAGTACAAAAAACTGGAGAAGCGATGAAAGAAGGGCCTTAGATACTGAAACTGCTTCTAGAATACATGACTTTTGCAAGAAGCCAGATCAAAGATTTCTGATGCTGAACTTCTGAAAAAAAATTATGTCTCAGCAATGCATTTGGACTAGAATGCCCTAAGAACTTTCAAAAGTAGCAGTGGCTATACATCTCTAAGAATAAACTACTTCTTTTATTGTAGAATCTATTCCCTTTTTACTATTTTTGATACTCATTTTACAGAGAATATAGAGGCCACTCTTAACCACTTCAATTCTGCCAGTGTTGTTTTTGTTGTTTGTGTAACTTTTGTCTCTGCTTCCCTATGAAGCAAGAAATGGGCCACTTCTGCACTCTATAAATCCCTTCACTACCTCCCAATTGCCACTAAAATGGCGTGGCTTTACTAAAAACATCTTCCCTGGCCTTGCTTTATACTTTTGTTTTTGATGAATAAACCCCAGGAAAGACGTCTGTCTTCATGAAGGGAAATGCTTTTGGTCTTCCTTCAGAGAGAGCCTGAATCACGTGAGTCTTAACTTTATTAGCCCAAATTTAGCTTGAGTGTACACAAGGACTGACTGATATGATATCAGCACTTATCTGCATGGGTTGAAGACAACTTGTGACAATTCCATATAATAGTTATAAAACAGTTTATTGATTTCAGTGGGACAGATGGATTGGTTGCTAGGACGTCAGCTGCTATTAAAAAAAACTAAGAAATATAAAGAAAAGACATCCACCTAAATAAAAGTGGTTGAAATGAAAATGAAAACAAGCACAGTCCTAATGCTGAAGGTGGTGAGATACTGATACCATTCATTGTTCTCACCCACTATTACAATTTTAAGATACTGCTTTGGCAGCTACAACTTTCAAAGTTGTAGTCCCCCCTAACCAACTTTCTAGACTGAAGAAGCCACTTGGACAAGCAGCAAAACGTATCAGACCAAAAGAAAAGAAGTCCAGTTGCCATGACTCAACCTCCAGACAATTCCACCTGGATGACTGAGAATCTGCATCAACATATTCAAAGTGGTTCTTGCTGATTCGAGTTGAGGCTCTTCCTATGAACGTGAAAGAAATGGTAAAGGCTTGTGTGATTAAATAACAAATATTAGCACCATAGCTAGAATGATTTGATTAAAACTTCAGTATAATTCCATTTTCCATAATAAATGCTTTTCCTGTGGAATGATCAGCCACATTGTCCATTCTAGTTTCTGCTCTCTAGGTTCAAAGGTTCACAACTCTCTAGGTTCACAACAGAGTTCTTTACAATGCATGAGGAGACACTACTGTAATTTGTAAACATCCAGATAGACTGAGCACTGAGGCCTGCTATAAGAGAGGGAGAAGCCATTTCAGGAGGGAAGAGAACAGAACAGAAAACTGGCAGCCAGGCTTACCGCCATACCTGCATAAACCAGAAACTCCTGGTCTAGTATTTCCAGGATACTGCCAAAGTTTAAAAAAACACACCAATCTCCAAGTGACACCATTAAAACTCTTAGCCTAGTATGGCTGTCATAATTCACAGGTGATGTTTGCACAACATGCTCGGCTGGGTCAAAGCTACTGGCTGCTTCTGCACATCCCATGCAGTTAATGTTAACCTTCATTAGACCTTTTGTGACTTAACATCCAGCATGTTGGTCAGTGAATGGCTCACTATATGATATGAATCTAGAAATTGGGCTATTGCAATACCCAGGTTTAACAAGTATGAACACAGCCTGGATGTGAGCTACTGATCTACTTGAACGCCTATAATGATGATGTACTTCAATTGGAAGGATACGTTTTTACCATCCCCATCTTTGTTCTTACCCTTGTTTGGGACCATTGGTTCTGAATTATTTTTTAGTAGGCCAAAATCACTTCCTACCTATTAAAAAAAAAAAAATCCAAACCCAGCATTTTCTTACAAAATGGGCAGGAAAGTGACACGTTTTGCTTTGTATCTCTGCAATGGAAGTAGCTCTTTATTTAAAACACAAGTGGGAAATTGAATATTAAAGTTTATCTAGAGGACGAGGGAAGTGCCCATGAACCTGAGCATGGTATCAAAAAAAAATAATACTCAGAATAAAGACAAGGCTGGGGCTAAGTCCCGCCCCCTCTGGAAGAAGAAATGCACGTTCGCGCCCTGATGCTTGCCCCCCCACTCCCCGGCCTAGCCTACTGGTAATGCTAAGGCGGCGAGAAGAAACGTAGCTTTCAAGCAGGGGCTGGGACAGCACTCGGGCTCAGAGGCCAATTTGAAG